GGGGGGGGTGTTCCACCTGAAGGTCACGGTCTGAAGAATCATTGAATTTAAAAACATGTAGGCGTGAATGTAAGCATGTTGGGTTGTCCAACAAAGTTCAGTCAGGTCCTCTGGACCGTTTCTTTTTGTTGAATCGTTTTGTCGTTCATCCAAAAGACTTCATCATTCTGAGGAGCCACAACAACCTCAGTCCCTTAAGTTGGATTTTCTACCTGGATTACTGAGCATGAACTTTCATGTTTAGAACCACTTTGGCGGTGGCTGCCTCAGAGGAGCCAACGAGGGAGAGGGCGGACTCCAGAAACCATCTTATCACCAGAAAACTGGTTGATCCACTATGTGAAGGTGCTAAGACTGAGTAAGACTGAGACAGAGTTTGTTGCAGCTCCTTGGACTGATGAAGTCCTTTGGATGAAAGAAGAAATGTTTCAACACAAAGAAACTGTCCAGAAGACCCGACTTAACTTTGTTGGATTTTTTACCTGGATTATTGAGCACAAACTTTGACATGTTGGATTGTATTTATCTTTACGTGAATCAGTCAATCAATCAATCGATCAATCAATCAATCAATCAGAGGTAAAATGCAGGGACAGTTTGGAGAAAAGTAAAATAATAATCTTGGTCTTGTAAAAGCAGCTCACCAGCAGCAAACAAAATGATAATTTTCAGTAGAAGAAAATATCTGCAGCCTGGTGATCAATCCAGCCCTGATTCTCTCTGATTATGTTTTATCTTTATTTATTTATTTATTTTCAAAAACTGTTGCCACATCTGCAACACACATGGAGTCACAATCAGCTCTTTTCTTGTTTTCAGCCTCATCAGGTTGAATGTGTAACTTCGCCCCCGGCTGTGCTCTGGCTCCCCCCAGCGGACTGACCGGGAGCTGCAGGGGGGCTCCCAGTGTGTCCCCTGTCCTCTCCTGCTGTCCCGGCTGGACAGTGAGGAGAATTATCAAAGTATTTCATTACAGCACAGCGGAGCATCATGCAAAAGACACAGAAAGGAGAGAAAACATCAAAATTATTTAAACTGATAAATCTTAAAAAGTTTGTCAGTGTGTAGCACCCACTGCAGTTTGGACTGGTTGGATAAAAAAAAAACCCACTGTCGCATTAAAGAGTGAAAATGAAAAAGACAGAGAGGAAAAGATGCAAAACAAGAGAAGATGCGAGTTATTGCGTGTTTTACCTGAACCTTTGAAACGCGAAGTCTTTGAGCTGCGGGTCTTCGGCTGGTTATGTCCTCATGTCCACAGGAGAGAAACCCGAGGAAGAAAACGGGGGACACCGGAGGACAGAGTGGGGAAGACAGAGTCCTCTTGATGCGCGTGCAGTTCCCGCAGCAGAGCCGTGGGTTCGCCCTGCTGTCCCGGTCCGGCCCTGATCCCTCCTCCAGCGCGCGCCCTCACCCCAGTGCGCATAGCTGTCCGCGCGGGGGCGCTGAGGCTCCACTGGAAGCCGCGCGCGCGCGCGCGTGCGTACCTGCGACCCAATGAGCCAAGCATCTGTGTTCTCCCTTCAGGACGGTTTTCAGGGCCGTTCATTATCAGAGGATTTGTGCAGATGAGGCCCTCAGGGCGCGCGTTTGCACACACACACACACACACACACACACCCACACAGACGCACACACACACACACACACACACACACCTGTCCTTCACCCACACCTTACAGTTCACCCCAAACATCTGGAGGCCCAGAGCGGACAGGATGAAGATTTAACTTCTTCACTGGTTTCCAGCATGCAGGAAGCGACAGCGGACGTTCTGGTCTGTTTGTAATTAGAAGCTGAGGAGTCGATGTAAACAGCCCGACCAGGACTGCAGCATGTTTACACATCTGTAGGTGCTCCAGCTGTGTATGTCCAAATGTTTGTGCGTACGGGAGGTCTGCTTCGTACTGGATTTACAGTGTTTAAATGTGCACAAACACATGCACGCCTGTTGTATTCATGTCATCAGCAGCACTGCAGCTGGAGACACATGTGAACCTTCAGAACAAAGTTAATCACTTTAACATCAGATGTGGAACTTTTAAAGTTATTATAAAGCTCTTCAGGGGTTCTGGAGAGGAGGGTCCGTCGGATAGTCGAACCTCGGATTCAGGAGGAGCAATGTGGTTTTTGTCCTGGTCGTGGAACACTGGACCAGCTCTACACCCTCAGCAGGGTCCTGGAGGGTGCGTGGGAGTTTGCCCAACCAGTCTACATGTGCTTTGTGGACTTGGAGAAGGCGTTCGACCATGTCCCTCGGGGAGCCCTGTGGGGGGTACTCTGGGAGTATGGGGTACCGGGCCCTTTGATCAATCAACCTTTATTTCTACAGGTAAATCCCATTGAGCCTCGAGGACTCATTTACAAGAGAGACCTGATTTCAACAAAGAAAGATGACAACAATGGACAACAGCAACAACAATAGACAGTTATAAAAAAGCATACTACAGTTTTTTTTTTTTTTTTTAAACAAATAGGATGGCTAAAAGGAAAAGGTAACAAAACAAAAAACAGCTAGATTCCAAGACAAATGTAGAAAACTAAAAACAGGAACATGTCTGCATTGGTCTCTGCCAGGTGTCCAACAGATTCTTAAAGACACTTAGAGAGGTCAAGGTCGAGAGCTTCAAATCTTTTTGTAAGATATTCCAGGAAACAGGAGCAGAGTAGGAGAAGGACCTTTTGTATAGTTCAGTCCTCACTGAGGGAACACTGCAGGTAATAATGTCCTGAGAGCGCACGCTGTAGCTGCACTCACGCAGAGACATGTAGGAGGAGATGTATGAAGGCAGCAGACCAAGAAGTGATTTAAAGATGAAAATGTACCAGTGAGACACTCTGTGTGAAGTTAATGATGTCCAGTTAACCAGTGAATACTGGGTGCAGTAGTGGGTACGATAATCACAGCCAGTTATGAATCTTAGTGCACCATGATAGACGGGGTGAGAAGCTCGATCATCTGGGAGGGACTCAGAGTAGAGACGCTGCTTCTCCACGTCGAGAGGAGCCAGTTGAGGTGGCTCGGGCATCTGGTTAGGATTCCTCCTGGACGCCTCCCTGGTGAGGTGTTCAGGACACGTCCCACTGGGAGGAGACCCAGAGGAAGACCCAGGACACGCTGGAGAGACTATGTTTCTCGGCTGGCCTGGGAACACCTTGGGATTCCCCCGGAGGAGCTGGACTCAGTGGCTGGGGAGAGGGAAGTCTGGGCCTCCCTAAGTTGCTACCCCCGCGACCCGACCCCAGATAAGCAGAAGAAAATGGATGGATGGAACTTTTAAAGTAATAAAATCCCCCAAAAAAACTCCTTTATGATGTTGAAGCACCAACTTGCAATGATTTGTTTCTCTTTGTTTACTCTGACTGACAGGAGTGCACATCCAGTCTGTGATTGGACGTGAGACTTCAGATGAGACGGAGGAGAAGCTGAGGACATGGACACAAGGTGTCCAGAGCTGGGACTGTGGACGTTTCTGTCCCTGCTGCTGCTAGAGGGTTTATCCTTAAAAAGACACGGATGAGTGTGTGTGGAGGTGGAGTGAGTCTGTGGGGTGTTCTGGTCTCACTCTGACTCATACAACAGGAATGACCGTCCCCCCCCCCCCCCCCACCACCAACTACAAAAAAAGAGTAAATCAGTTTTTTCCTCCGTTTCTCTCTCTGACACACACAGCCTTTTTAATTATTTATTTATTTTTATTTCTTCCACATGGAGCAAAAGAGTATTTAAGTGTGTGTGTGTGTGTGTGTGTGTGTGTGTGTGTGTGTGTGTGTGGGGGGGGGGGGGGGGGGGGGGTTACTGCCTAACCAGTTGCAGAGTTATAAACATCTTGTTTCTGTAAAGTTTTTCTTACTTTTTTTCACAAAAAGTTTCCAAAAGCTGAATTTGGTTCAAGCACAAACACATAAAAAGATGAGAAAAATGAAAGGGTGGTGGTAGTGAGGGTGGGGGTGGGGGTGGGGAGTCTGTACTGATCCAAGCAGCAGCAGCAGCAGGAGTTTCATGTTCAGGCAGCACGGATACACAAAGTGACAGCGGCAGAAGTTCTTCGCAGCACTCCGTGCATCAAATGATGATTTTCAGCTCAACATTCGAGCTGCATGAACTGAACAGAAAACATCCAGATATCACAAAAAGATCCGACAGTTAACTCCAACCATCTTCTTTCTCTTCCAGATGTGCAGATTTGTTCACATGAAGCATTTGGGACTCGTTACAGCATCACAGACACAAATTGTGCAAACTTATAATCATTCCCGTGTGTTGGTTTTCTGCTAATGCTGGTGAAGTGCACTGGAAAGAACATGCTGAAATAAAACAACAGTTACTGAAACAGTCCAGTTGCTGCAACTTTAGTCATTCAAAGTAAAGAGGAAATTGCAGGAAAGCATCGGAAGAGCCAAGACAAATTTCCACAGCGTGCATGGAAATCATGTCATGCAGGCTGTAAATTTTGCACATCAGCACCCAGACAAACATACCCACAGCCATACAAAGCACACAAACAGACAAACACACCGGAGGGGTCCGCCATCAGGGATCTGATAAGGGGCTGATTTTGCTCCAGACCCTTGAGAAAAACTCCAACGCAGGAAGTGATGCATCAAAGACACACAGAATGTGAACGCGCCCAAGTTCAGATTAAAACAAAGACTCAAAAATCCAGATCAAAGAAAAAAAAAAAAGGCTGGAGAAAATCTGAAACTGAGGCCTGAAGTTCTGCTGCAGTCTGACGGTCTGATAGAAACCATGTGTCCTGTTAGGCAACAGAGAACAAACAAGGATTTTACTTTTACACATGCAGATAAATCTGGGTGGTTATGAGTAAACTGGAATAAAATTTGTGGTGATAAAACGTTTGCAGGATGAATGCTTTAATGTGAGGGGTCATCAAGCTGCAGCACTGGATATCCAAACGTTGCTCTAACTACCGGTAAATCTAAAGACACAAACACTTTAGCCTCCTCCACTAAACACAGATCAATGTGTTATTGAGACAGCTTTAATAGTGTTTATAATGAAACTTACTGAAAAAAATAAGTATAAAATTACTGAGAAAACGGCAGTTCGAGGTTCAAGGTTCTTTATTGTCATTTGCATCAAATGTGGTACATGAGGTGGAACAAAATTGTGTACACAGGGTCCCAGTTACATCCAACAATAGCAAAAAAAGAATATAAAGTATAATGAGAAACAGTTTCTAAGATATACGCTAAACACTAATGTAAAATAATACGATGTATTAAACAGCAACTTGAACATGAGTCTGTGTGAGTAGATGGATATGAATGTAGCAGCTTAAAGGCCAGAAATCAGCAGCACAGATAAGTCACATATCACCAACTAAAGTGTTATTACAGTGATTATTCTGGTTAGAGATTCATGAGTCTAACAGCTTCAGGGTAGAAGCTGTTCCTCAGTCTAGTGGTTCTACACTTAATGCTCTTCAACCTCCTGCCTTAGGGGAGCGGGGCAAAAAGTGTGTATGCTGGGTGAGTGGAGTCCTTCATGATGCAGGTGGCCCTCTTCCTGCATCTGGAGGTGTAGATGTCTGTGATGGTGGGGAGACTGACTCCAACATCTTCTGTGCAGCCTTCACCACTCTCTGCAAAGCTTTTCTTTCTGCAACTGTGCAGCCTCCATGCCACACGTTGATGTATGTATAATGTACACTTCCAGTAAAGTTTTTAGCTGATTCTGAGAGTTTAAACATGGCAACTGTACTTCTGTTCTTGTTTCTTCAAGATGTTTCATAATTCATCTGAAAGGCTTCTTCAGTTCGAACCAGGGTGTCTGAAGATTTCATGTGAGAAGTGAAACGTCATCAGGAAACAAGAACAGAGGTCCACTTGTCTAGTTAGAACTGACACATTTTGGATGACTACCGGTACATGTCTTCTTCTGCAGCCATTCTGACTGTGCAGCAGTTTTACTGTCTTTCTAAACTGTCTTGTTTAGCATTATATCTTAGATCTTTGTATATTTTTGCTATTTTTGGGTGCAACGGGAACCTTGAGTACATAATTTCATTCCACCTCATGTACCACATGCGATGCGAATAACAATAAAAATACTTGAACTTGAACTTTCATAACACCTCCTGGTTAAGAGAAGACTGTAGGAAATGGAACACGTTTAAAGATATAAACAGTAACAACGCTATTTTGACATCACCACTCACTTAAAAAAATTATCAGTGGTGGTCTTGGAGACCATAGATTAAACTTCAGCCACCCAGTGATTTGAGGAAACTATACTTTTATGCAATAACAATTAAAAAACATAGCTTCTTCAAATGTGACTTTTTTTTTGGCAGATTGGTACTAGGTGCCAGGCCAGACAAAAAGCAAATCCCAAGAC